ACTGTACCAAGCAATGGGAATAATACACCAACGTCAACGTGAACTCATCTTGTTGTACAAGTCGCGTGTCAGAGCGGTAAAGCTTAGTTTAGTGTTTTGGTACAGAGCATTGTAATTGCCCTTTCTTGTCTTTCCCGTGCATAACGCGGGGCGTTCCACTAATATTAATAACAATAGTTTTTCGCTAATATCACGAAAACTAGAGTTTTCCGTCAATTATGCATAAGGAAAAACTCGTTCAGAATCATGCCACTAATAACGTATTAGAAGGACATTGAAATCGTTCGAAGTTGATTTCAAAAGTTAATAACAATTTTTCGCTAATATCTTGAAAGCTAAAGCTTTCCGCGAACTTTGTATATGAACAAAATTGTTCAGAATCGTGTCCGTGATAAGATATTAAAAGCGCACTAAAATCGAGAAAATTTTATTTCAAAAGTGCCGGTTTTTTTTGGAATAACAACACTTTGCAATTGAAAAATGAAAAACTTTTTGATAATGGTACTAATGGGGAGTCAGCACCTACCAGATGCAAAAGGTTTCATTCCGATCGGTCCATCCAGCTAGGCGTAACGCGCGAACATACATAGAAAAAAAAAAAAGAATATACTGTCCAGCTAGGCGTAACGCGCGAACATACATAGAAAAAAAAAAAAAGAATATACTGATCGAATTGAGTAACCTCCTCCTTTTTCGAAGTCGGTTAAAAAGATACTTGCATATCATAAATCATAAAAATTGCTTCACTGATCTCAAAGATATCGCAATGTTTCCATTTTAGTCTTACATTTTGAAGGGTTATCTTATGCCCTAAATTTGTTTTTCCACAGATAAAAAAAGTGTGTCCTTTAATTTTTCATGTAATATAACATATCCATATTTCAGAAAAATATGGATATATAGAGAGTAACACTTCCGCAGGTTTACTTGTCAGAGATTGTGATCTCTAGTTGTATCCCTACTCTTTGACAGAGCATGATTAGTGTTGTTATATCTGAACTTTAATATACGGCGGTACTTCAATATACAAATATAAAGTGGAAAAGTAACACAGTTTTTGATTCTAACATTATAGAGTATTGTAAGGTAGTATTTAAATATGAATTCATCATGGAAGAATACTCGTGATGCTCTCAAAAACTTCGCAAGTGTATTAATATGTAACAAATGGTAATTTTTTACTTATAATATTAAACATATTAAATATTCCTAGGAAACGTTTTATTTAGCAATTGGGTAAAGTTATACATTATTCAATTTATTATGTGGCTTACATTATAAATTTGTATAACATTATTTGCAAAGATTCGTTTTTTTATATTAAATTGGTTATGAATTTTCAATAAAAAAGTAAAATTAAGAATCTAATGAAATGATGAACTAATTAGACTTTGCGGTGAGCTTTATCTGATGAAAGTGAAACTCTCCTGGCAATCCTTGTTATTCTAGTACAGAAAGGTAGGCAAAAAAAGTAAATGTTTTGACATTCAAAAATGTAATTTCTAGGAATTTAAGGTTAAGAAGCAACATTTTTTACCGCTTTTATTCTTAAGTTCGATGTCAGTTGGATTATGTTGATGCAGATCAATGTTGCATTTTAAAAGTAACTAATTGTTTTTCAAATCACAGTAGCCCAAAGAGATGTAGCATTACTACTAATAATGCATTAAGAAGATGAGATGAATGCAATAAAGTAATGTAACATAGTACAGAGGAAAGAAATAATGACATTCATTTATTTTGACCTACAGATAAGTACATGAACATGTTGAAATATATTTTGCCTCATTTTTTTATTGGATGTTTATAGCTAATTGTAGGAGAAAGAATTTCCACAATTAATGACATACAAAGTATTAATGTGGTCAATAAAATGAATAACATATAATTAGTCACAATTGTTGAATAGACCATTCCCTGGAAATATATCATATTATTGTTTAAAAAATATAGTGGATTTCAGTTATTTCGAACAAATTAGGACTAGCATATTTTGTCCTATTTAAATCGACCATTTAGCTTATGTATAGCATCACATGTAAATACACTAGGTAAAATAATACCGTTCTACAAAGTTGACAAATGATGACCTTCTGAAATCATATAGTGTAGAGTAAAATCCACTATAATATGTTTTTGTATATATTTAATAACTTTTTTTTAAATTAATGTATGAAATATTATTGGTATTCTTTCTAGTCTATTTTTGTTTTTGTTTTAGTGGAAATAAACCAATAAATGCAATGAGGTATACCAATTGTGGTCATTTTTTTTGCAGTCACTGTATTTTAAATCATTCAGAATGTGTAAAATGCAATACACCTGTGCAACCACTTGAAATATCTAATGATCACTTAGTTAAGCATCTTGTTTCTTCCTGTGATATTATTGCAGAACTAATACAGGAAAAGTATGTAAATATTATTGAATTTGGGTATACATTTGTATGTTAATTTAATATAAAATCTATTGATTTAAAATTATTTTGTACTTTGTTGTACTTTGAAGAATCTCACTCGTGATGCACTCACAGCTCAAACATAACAAATCTTACTAAAATTGTTAAATATTATAGCTATGAATGATTAGTTTTAACTGATGCACCTGACAAATAAATTGTATGATAAGGGGTTAATATAATACATGTATTTTTAAGTTAAGTTGTATGTAATTATTTTGCGCTTATTTAATTTAATTCAGAATACATTCAATTCTCTTTTTACATGGTATCTAGGTTCCAAATATGTTATAACTGAAAATTATGTAAAATAGGGTGCATTATGTATGGAAAAGTCTAGGAGTGGTAAAAAGTGGAAACCTGATACGAATACATCTTTGTTTAAAATAAAACATGACAAGTATTAGATATGCTTCTTTTTAATTTTAATGGAATATTTTTTTACAGTGTATTATTAAAACAAAAAATCTAAAAAGCCTAAATATATGTCTGCATGTAGCTATTAGCTAAATTTTATTTGCCATTTTCTGGTCATTTTTTTACAGTAATCACATTTATTGATCACAGTAAATCACTTGAAACAATTTGGCCATTTAATTCAAACTGTAATAGTGAAACATTTTTCTTAGTACAATGAATTTTAGCATTTATTTTCAATAATTAAAAGAGATTCTTCAAAATCCAAGTTTAAGTGCATATATATTGCTTTGACAAATAATATATTTATTGCAAATACTCTTTTTAACGAAATACAAATAGGAATGTTAAAAGTAAGTGCCATTTAAATTATGTTTAATAGAAATTTTGTACGTAAAAATAAAATTATTTTCTTTTTCTGAACCATATGATTTTGAGATCATATAAAAGAAAGTCATGTAGCAAGAGAATTAAGTGTATTATACTATTTTTATTAATAACAGCTTTATTAGCATCAAATAAAAAATTTAATATCAGATATATTAGTTAGAAAATTAATCTGGAACAATACAATCTTTAATATGTTCCGTGCTATGTTTACCACTGGTGATACGCTCAGACATATTTATCCAATGAACCGAAAATATATGTTCATGATAAATTTAATTCTGTAAAAAAATATTTCTACTAAAGGATTGAGGCATTATACAAAATGCAGTTAAGAACAAAGCACATAAATTTGTTTAATTGTTATATTTACAATAATTAATAATTATATGTAATGGTTGATTTTGATTTTTCAATCTTTAGTCTTTAGTGTTTAATACAAATTTTTTAGAAATTTGTGGAACACAACAACTACAAATTTAAATAACCTAACTCAAATATCTACTCAAGTGTCTACTACAACAGAAGCCAGAACCAAGGTTACCAATGTGAATTATCGTATACCAAAGAAAAACATTGACAAACCAAATGATAAAGGAGAAACAAAACTACATAGTGCTTGTTTAAAGGTATACTTGTAACACTTCTAAAACATTAAAATTCTATATATAGGAATTAATAAGTACCTTCATTTAGAATAAAATCAAATTTAATAAAATTATCAAAACATATTTAGAATCAGGAAGAGCATGTAAAAGGACTTTTGCGTCTTGGTGCAAATCCAAACACAAAAGATAATGCTGGTTGGACTCCTTTAGTAAGCTATTTTTTTATTTTTTTTTTAAATATCTACATTTGAAAGTATAATTTTTACAGTTATATAGTTTATATTTTTCATTTTGCTTTTTTCTTTTTTTGCAGCAAGAAGTTGTATGTTATGGATATATTAATATATGTAAGTTACTTCTAGAATGTGGGGCATTGCCTAATACACCTGGTTTAGAAAATAGAAGAGCATTACATGAAGCTGCTTTAAATAACAGGTTGCAAGAAGCAGAGATGCTTTTAAAATATGGTGCTAGAAAAGATGTATTTGATGACTCTGGAAAGAAGCCCATGTATGTGTTATTGAATATTTTTAGACTGTGAATTTTAATGCATTCACGATATACTATGGTTCACAAAACATACGTAAATCATGCAATCTGTAATTCTCTATATCGGAATTATGTAACACTTTTGGTCTTTAGAACTCTGATCTTTTCTTCATCATCCTGAATACAAAGTATGCTGTTCTGAGATTTTCAACAAAGAGATTTATTCTTTCTGTCATAAGTAGAATCAAAGGGACGTAGGGTTCTTGTTGAAATGTTAAGATATTAACCCTTTGCACTCGGCTGTCCCCTCTGAAGGGACATTTTGAACGACAAAATAAACTTTCCGAGTGCAAAGGGTTAAGATCTTTGAGGCCTTGATTTCAGTACACATATTTTATACTTTATTAGTATTTTATTAATATTTTATCTAAATATTGTGATATCTGAACTTGATTTTTCTATGCAAAAGGGTGAAATTTATATGTTATGATAATTACAATTTTATTTTATATCTTTTGGATTAGTGAAGGTCTGTAAAAAGAAAGTTGTGGCATAACTGATCTTAATCTTCAAAGAATCTAGCCAAATAAGATCATCAAATGTGCAATTAAGCTAAATACAACTTTAATAGTACATAATTTAATAGTTGATCCGAATAAACATCTCACATCAAGTTTCAATCCTCTACAGATGAGCTAATAAGAAAAAACTGAACTTCTAGTGCTTGTTCTCTTTTTCTTATTTAATAATTCTCAAACAATCTAAAAAATGTGACTTTTAACTGAAGATATAGAAGTACTATTTTTACATTATTGTAACAATAACATATTCGCATAATCGTTATTTTGTAATTGTTTCAGGTTTTTCGGTAAAATGCACTATAGTTAAAAAACGCCATAACCGATTACTTTGCGTATAAAGTATCTTTTGTTTCGAATTTGCATGTTTTCTTTCAGCATATCTATTAAGTAGTCTTAAATATATTCACATTCATAATTGATACAAATAATACATCAATTAAAACATAAGATTCATTTATTAATTAATCTTTTGCTACAATTGATTATACTCTGGAATGTAAAAGTTTGATGTAACAATATTGGTGAAATGATGAAGTAAGAGTCTTATTGCGTAATCGCTAAAGATTAATTAATAAATGAATCTTATGTTATAATTAATGTATTATTTCTATCAATTATGAATATGAATCTGTATAAGACTACTTAATAAATATACTTAGTTACTTAAAAATAGAAGACTTTATATACGAAAATAGATTTCAATTTTTTCTTGTTATTTCACCACCGGTAGGGGGTTGAAACTTGGTGAGAAATTTTTTTGAATATACTGTCAATTGACGTATTGCAAATTTCATTTAGCTGAAAGGCATAGTCGATCATCTTATTCTGTTATAGAGTCAAATTTTTTTCAATCATTATCTTAAAAAATTAGGTTAAAGTTTTATTATCGATAACGTGATACACGATGTGTAACCAGAAATTAATGATTTTATGTGAGAAAAAAAAAATATAAATTTGATATGCAGATTTTTCATCATGTACTTCGTTTCTAGGAAAAACGGTTTTGAACATTTGTCAAATCTGTATACGACTAGCTGCAATGTTACTGTTGCTATACGAAAGATATGTAACGTAATGATGCAGCAAACGTATGGATATTTATCGAAACATTGAAATCGATTTTCTCAAAAATAAGGTTTCAAACGAAAAAACTTTGTATAAAATTTTTCATTTGCTCTTTTTCGTAGAATCGTCCACTTTCTAAGTATATTTTGGTTATTATTCAGTCTTAAATTAGAATAATGAAATTTAAACATCATTTTTCAAGGGAACTTTTGAGTTTTGTTCCACTGTTCTTTAAAAATGTCTTATTTTCTTGGCACGTCCTGTAAGTTACGATAATAAAGAGATTTGACTTCGAATTTTAATGTTGTGGTAATTTTATGTTACAGATCTTTGTCAGTCTAAAGATGTAGAATAATGCCATTGCAGTCATGTCATATAATTTTCAAAATATCCTGCGCATTCCTTTACCGAAACACTTGGATTCCTTTTAAAAAAAAGGAGAACCGTTTTAATTTTGAACTAACTAATCTAAACTATTTGTAGCAGTAAGAGGTATTAATTCACCAACTGATGAGTATTCATTGTTTTAAAAAAAATGGTAACTGATTAGAATAATGGGAAAAAATGAAGGTCAATTTAAAAAAATGTATTATTTGAATTGTTCATGAAAGGTTAAAATATATCTTGTGCAGATTTAAGTACATTACATGTACGGTGAAAATTTCATCACAATTGGTTAATATACGGAGCAGCTATAAACAACTATAATAGTCGAAAACCATGTATTTTTACCTAAGAAGTTTACCATGACTAATTATAACCTTAGATAAAAATCTTATTTTTATCAATTTTAATTGTTGTGGCTCTGGTAGCACATATTATACAGTGTCTTCAAAAAGTCCTGGACTGATTAAATAACTTGAAACGTAGGGGTTGCTCAAAAAATTGGTTGAAACAAAAATTGTAGGAAATTTCCCTGGCCATCCAACCGCGACCTCGGCTGTCACCTTGACCTTCAAGGTAACCACCAATTTTGACACTGGAAATAAAAAGGGTGGACAATTTTACGTCTAGATACGATCTTGACCATTCGAAAAATTTGGCCTTCATTAGCTGGGTATCACACCACCTTGCCTTAATTGACTGTGACGAATGCAAATCTCAGTTTCTTTACGTTACCTTACCTTAATTGGCTCGTATGAATGTAAGTTTCATTTTATCGAATTCTTTAAAAAAAATTATTCCTTAATATGACCTCACAGATCAAGATATTACCATGAGATAGCCAGGACAATTTCCTACAACGTTTTGCTGAAACATTTTTCTTCGAGCAACGTCTACTTTTCAAGATCTCCAACCGGTCACAGCTTGACTTTTACTTGATCTTCCGAGGTCATATTTTTCGAATGATTAAGATCGTATATAGATGTAAAATAGTCTGCCTTTCTCATTTCCAGTGTCAAAATTGGGTTGATGCTATTTAAAAAAATGAACTTGGCCTTGAAATGGTCTTGAAGGTCAAGGTCAAGATGACGGCCGAGGTCGCGATTAAATAACCAGTTAAATTTCCTACAACTTTTGTCTTAACCGCTTTTTTGAGCAACGCCTACGTTTTAAGTTATTTAACCGGTCCGGGACTTTTTGAAGACCTTGTATATATAGCCATGTTATAAATTCTGTTTATGATGAAAATAACATAATTTACTATTTAATATCGCCATTTAACATATTATATTTGTAAAATATGTTGTAATATAAATGTTCAAATTCAGGGTCACATTTTGATTGTGGTAGCGTACAATGCTTGCCAAAGAGATGAATAGTTTTAAAGGATTCGTAAGTTAGAACTCAATAGGTTTTTTTTAAAATTATATTAAAGTTCGTTTGAGATTTATGTAATATACGATGTGATAGTAACAAAAGTTTGACTTTAAATGTAGAGATTAAGATTAATTTTGCGGTCACTTTTGTTTGCAAATATTCACCAATCCAGAGATATAGAATAATGTTATAGAATGCATGAAAAATTATTATAAATTATTGCCTATTATGTATATATATTTTAAAATCGCATGATTCTATATTCACTATTTTCTAGCATAAACGAAATTATTCGTCACACACGTTTGAACTTTCCGCATGATTTGTTTGTAGAAACAAATTATAATGTATAGCAATATTTTTCTATACGCAAAATCCTTAAGAGATTGATTTGCGTTTTTATTGCATTTATACAAAAACAATCAACAACTTTATATTATATCTATACAAACAAATCATGTGTGACAGATAATTTTACGAGAAGTAAAATTGACAGCATATAGATTAATATTCTCATAAATAAGTCGAACATATTCCTCAAGTTATGTATGGTGAAACCATTTTTGTAGGAATTTCAGTCAGAGTGTAGTGTTAAAAAAATATTTATAACAGTAACCTAATATTCAATTTTATGTTAACTGTTATGAATAAATTTAAATGGAATGTATTGTGCTTTGTTTTTGTGAACCTATTTAGTTAATAAAACAATATAGAATTATCAATTTTCAAGATTTTAAATAATATAAACACTTGGTTGTGTGCGATAGAATTTATAACATGGGTATATGTAAAAGACTAGTGTACTCAGAATGTGTATAGATAAATGAAGTAAAATATACATATTAATATTTAACTCAAAGGAATAAATCCTTATCAATATAGTACGGGGTAATACTTGTACTTATGGGTCAATCCACACCAAATCGATCACTTTTGGACGTCATCATTTTCGATTTTGCTCTAATTAAAATATGTTGTAATTTATGTGAAATGAAGGGGGGGTTAATGTCATCATTTTGCCAGTTTTAAATTTGTTAAGGAATAACAAATCTTCAAAGTTCGTCCATTTTTTTACCGACTTTTACGAAAATCGACTTTACTTATGAATTTTTTTCTCAAAAACTACTCAAACAATTTAGCTAAATTTTGTTTTGTTTTATTCATAAAGGATTGGGCTATTTTTAAATATTTTTTTTTAACTCCGTCAATTTGTCATAAAAGGTCGGAAGATTTAAACAAATTCTTTTTTGTGTTTTTGTCAATAAGGGGCGTAAAGGGTTTAAATTAAAAAAAATATGGTCATATTCTTTGAAGCTTCCCTCTTAAAATGAGCTTTTCAAAACGATGGAGCCTAGAAAACTGCCGTCACTACAGTTGCAGGGTACGAAGATAAGTCGCGATGTACCTTTGTTTTAGGTAGGTGAGTCGCGCGCTCAGCTTGCTTTGGGACCAATGACATGAAACAACCGATCATAATAACTGAGCACGCGTCTTGCTTATCTGAAACAAAGGTACCCCGCGACTTTTCCAGCTTGTAGTGACGTCAGTTTTCGGGATTCCGTCGTTCTGAAGGACTCGTTTTAAATGGGAAGCTTGAAAGAATATGACCATATTTTACTTAACTTTATACTCTTTACGCCCTTCGTTGAAAACAACGTAAAAAAGAACTTGTTTTAATTTTCCGATATTTTATAACAAACTGACAGAACTGAAAAAATATTTTAAAATAGTCTAATCTTTTATGAATATAACACACAAAATTCATCTAAATCGATTGAGTAGTTTTTGAAAAAAAATTCGTAAGTGAAGCCTATTTTCGTAAAAATGGGCCCAAGTTGCAACTTCGAAGGCTTGTTATTCCTTAATAAATTTGAAACCGTCAAAATGATGACTTAAATCCACCTCCCTTCATTTCACACGAATTACAACGACGTCCAAAAGTGATCGCCTTGGCGTGGAATGATCCTTACAAATTAACTGAACTATTGTTCCATTGAATTGAAAGTATTGGACTTAATATTAAGTAGGTTAATCCTAAGATGTAATTATAATTTTTAAGTGTTTTAGTATTGATTTTATTAATTTTTCCGTAAAATGTGAAGAATTTATTTTTAACTCTTGTATAATGCTGCTATTTTAATTCATCGCGATTTTTAAGTTTTTCTGGAATATTTTTATTTTTACCAACAAACTTTGTATCCAATTTAATTCTTTATTCTGAAATGGGAATGTACAATATTCTTTGATGATTGGTATTGTGAGTTTTGAATCATTATGTTATTGAAACAGGAAATTGTTTTTATTATAGCTTGCACAATGGAAACTATTAAACAAGATTGACACATTTCTGTAACTGGGTTACAAAAAATATATTGTCGATTTTAGCAAAACTTTTGTAATTCAGGGAAAGTAACTGAAAGTAACTGAATTAATTGTAACTAATGTTTGTAATTTGTATCCTAATATAAATTTTAAAAAATTTTATTTTAAGTAATTTTCTAATACAAATGAAACAGAAATGATCTAAAATGAAACAGAGTTGCGATTCATCTTCGTAATTTTTACTAAAAATTGAACGCTATTAACATGATAGCTTTATAATTTATAGTAAAAACCTCGGTTAGTGTAAAACGGAATCCTGTAAAATATTTATAACAAAATGAATAATTGACACAAAAGATATGAAACACGATGATTACTAAAAATCGTACAACCAATAATTTGTTTGACGTATCGTTCATAATTTCAATTTTGTAACCTCTAATAATCAATTGTTATAGATTATATATGTAAATCGTTGTATTACAATAATTATAGCTTTTGAAAAAATCAATTTAAAACAAAAATTGCAAATTTCTAATGCAGGAAATGTTTTGTAGATTTGTGATGATAATTATTTAATTCCTTTTGATACTACATTACTTTCTGAACGTATTTTGTTTATTTCATTACTTTTTCCTGAACGGCAAATGGTTTTCGGAAAAAACAAACGGAAAAAATATAAAGTAGTCTGAGCAAAACGTATTCAAGTTTGTTTTTGAAACTTGAACTTAATCATTTCTGACCAAAGAATATTAAAAAATATATGTAGTTTTTATTTCAAATGACTTTTTTCCTTTAAAATCAGAAAACGTCTTTACTCAGGTCGGAGAAAATTGTATTTTTGGATCTAATTGAAGGAAAACGTTTGTCGTAAGAAAATAAAAAAATATGCATCCTAATTATTAGGTCAAGTCATAAGTAACTTCCGTTTTTTTATCAGACATTTATTTTGTTCTCATTAAACAACAAAATTATATTATTTTATTATATATTCACCACTATTTTCTATAACCTTCTCCCATTTTCTTGTAAAATGTGGTTGGTTTGGACTGGAAGAAGCTTTACTTGAGAGTTACCCTTGCTGTATGCGGTCGCGCGTTGTCGTGTAAAAGAATGACATTTCTGCGATTGACGAGTGCAGGGCGCTTTTCTAGGAGTTTCTCTTGCACTCTTTGCAATTGCTGAATGTATTTATCCGCAGTAATAGTTAAATTTGACTTTAACAACTCGTGGTGACTTATACCTTCATAATCTCACCATACACACAATAAAATCTATTTAGCTGCATCGGAAGTTACTTAAGACTCGACCTAATAGATTTATAACTTGTAGATCTCGAGTGTCGAGTTATGACGTTACTGTTTTTTCTAATATTGATTATGCATTTTCTTGTATTTCAGAAGTTTTTATAATAAAAGTAATCAAGTAATCAATCCATGTGAGGATTTTATCTGATTACTTTCTTTATAAAATCTACAATAAGAAATAACCTCCTCTTTCAACAAGATAATCATCATAGAAGAATATGTGTTGCCATTGCAGCCCTCAAATATAATTTCAGTAGAAAATTTCTAGGCAGTATCAAAAAATAGCTACGGGAACATTGCTTAAATATCGGATACAATTAAAAGAGTAACTTTATACAAGAGTGAAAAAGTATTTCGTAAAACTATTGGAATTAAAAAGTAATACTTAGATTTAAGAAGTTTCCTACTAAATATTAAGTTTCATAATTTTAGGTCTAATACAATAACAATTAAATTAATTTATAAGTAATGGAATAGTTTTTATGTTCGTAGATATATTTTATTGATTTTGTCTTTGTTGCATTATAACTACAAATTTTTGCAAGTATTACATTTTATTTAAATGTTATATGCATATGCATTTTCTTTTATTATCTATACATATAGTATATTGGGTGGACAAATGTGGTTGATTGTAATTAATAATTGCATCATTATGTTACTGGTATAAATAAGAGAATGAGTTGATTTTGTTATTATTACTATTGTAATAGTTGTTAATAATAATATTGTTATTGTTAAGTTTATTGAAAGTGAAATAGTAACTTCTTTTAACAAGACAAACATGGTGTTTTGTTAACAATATTTTAATTACTCGTTAAACACATTATTGATCTTTCGTTAATTTCCAAAATTATTTTATTGAAGTATTAACAATGAAATTTTCTTTCGCATTTTACTCATACATCTGTTCCATCTGTTTTTAATTTTTGCTTCTGATCTGTTAATAAATTGGTTTTTTTATTTAATGCAAAATAACTATTTTTTATATCTGAAATAATATTATTTGAAGACCAGTATATTAAAAGTTAATAAATCCATATCAGGATCGTGATCAATGCGAAATTTCACAAATTTTTCAGTAGCATGGGAATGAGATTTTAACTTGTGCCCATTATGGCTTATAATAAATGACTTAATTTTATTCTGTATTTTTGCATTTCAGAGATTATTGTAAGGCACATAGCGAAATGTGGAATATTTTAAGTGATAAAAATGAGTATCACAATACAAGTGAAGAAGCTGTACTTCTTAACAGTACTTTACATCAATCATTTTCTATGACACAGTCATTTGACACAATTGTTATATTTGCATCAAATTTAAGGACACATAACAGAAAATATCTGGAACAAATGATTTCAAAACATAAAATTAAAACTGTATCTGTTTTTCGGTATGCTACTAATTTTAGTTCTTACTAGATTATAATTTTAAATTTAAATAAAGATAAAGGATATTAATATTTATATTTTTAAATATTATGTACTATTGTATTTTAGATCATGTGTAACTCACATCATAGTAGAAGCAAGTCAAAATGTTACTCGATTGACATATGATGTTATGATGGCACTTTTATGTGGTTGTTGGATACTTAATACTGCATGTAAGATAATAAATAAATTTAACAATAAATTAAACAACAAGAATTAATTGATCATTAGATGTTAACAAACTTTTTATATGAAAGGGATTCAGTACGATATGGACATAGTTGATATATTAAAAGGAGATTTGGAAGTATTGGAACTATTTGAAATATTTAAAACAACTGGTTCATCAAAAGAAGGAATTCCAAAAAAGGCTAGAGAAAATGCACAAAATCAGGTAAAGTTAATTATAACATCATGAAAAATCTTTAGAATAATATTTTGAATTTTATTTTTAGAATCCAAGACTTTTTAATAAATGTCATTTCTATTTTGCCATGGAACCAAAGAATAATTATCATATAAATGATATGGTACTAACAAAAGATGCTTTATCAAAACTTGTACAAACAGGTGGTGGGACAGTCTTGAAAAGAGAACCAAAGCCTGAAGATATAAAAAATAAGGAACAATTTATCAATTTTCATATTGCAAATGAACCTACTCATCCTTTATATAAGTGTACTCATTATATTATATATGTGTCAGAAAGAGATGGGCCACACATAAAATATAATATGCCTCATATAAAAACACTACCAATTGCCTGGTTAATTGAATGTATAGAACAATTTACACTGGTTGATCCATCAAAATTAGGTTTACTTAGATAATAACGCAACTTATTTTTTATAATACTAACTATATTATATAACAGAATAAATGTTATTAACAAATTTAATATTGCTTTTTATATCTTCTTAAAGTAGTTATAATAGTTTACTCCGTGATCAAACCTATTCTTTACAAAATAATTTTTCTTACTCTTATCGTGATACTTAAAAATATTAAAATGAAGAATAACTTTTGATATTTAACTGTTATCCAAATTTTTAGAAGGAATAAGATAATAATTCGGTATTATGATTACTAAGAACTGGTTGTTGCGTAAAGAACGATAAATTCCAAAGAGAAATATCGTACGGTATCCTGTACATTTACGGATAAAGTACCGCTAGTCGCGTACATATACATATATATGCAGTGAGAAAGAGGGAACGAAAGAAACAAGGTTGGGGGAATAAGAGAGAAGTAAGAAGGAGGAATAGTATGAACATAGAGAAGGATAGGGACATAGAAATTCTAATATAGTTAATAATAGGCAATAAGAAATATCTAATTTAAACGAAAATTGGTAGAGAAATACATACAACTAATAATTTAATATATTAGAAATCAGTTTTAGTGAAAGAACATAAAGTATTATAATTAATTTAAGGATAATGTGAGTACTTAATAACATAATTATTATAATTTGTTCGTGCGAAAATGATATGAATTAAAATAATATATATAAAATTATATAATAAATTGAAAATAAGTAATTTACTAAAAATGTTATTAACTTTTAACAACAATATATCCAAATTGAAGTTATATAAAGTTTATATCTTGCGAATTCTTAATAGAAATAGAAATTATGTATTAGAAATTACGATCACTAAATTGTAATTATTGATGGTTACAATTTGTGAAATTCAGAATTTGTTTTATTATTAAACTTTCGATTTCTATTAATATTATTTTTCTGATTTTATTAGTTTGTTACCAGTGTAATTCATGAAAATTGAAGTTTTCAGTAATGTTCACAGAATGTAGGTGTTTTTTAACTGTTCGTCCTCTTTTTGATTAATTCTCAGTAACGTCATCAACAATCATTATCTACTTTTCTGGTTTTATTATTTATTCTCTTTTTTTGATTGATGTAAAAGAGGGGATCCGCATGCTGACCCACAAGTGGGCTCCGGTACCTCTTCAGTCAGTCAGTCAGTCAGTCAAACAAGCCGAACAGGCAATGCGGGTCCGTATAATACCGTGGCTGCCGAACTCACGGTAAAGTAGTTTGACACGCACGTGTTCGAATCGGGTTACGATATAGTGTATCTTTTTTCAATTACTTTTACGGTTGCGTTTTAAAGTCGATAAAAAAGGAAGAAAGGAAATCAAATAAAAAAGATAGCAAACGAGGGAGACTGAAGATGATACTAAGAACAATTTCTGGGGGCATTGTCCTTTTCCTTCTACTTAGCGATTCAAGTGTTGCTCAAGATGACGATTCTCTGGCTGGTAGTTTTTTGTCAGGTAAATAAATTATTTATTTTTGCTTGTTATTGATGTCTATTATCATGTTCGATATTAACAACGTATCTGACGTATACAATTCTGTTAAAAGTGAGAAAATGCAAGTCAATATTTTTAGAAATGAAACTATACATTTTTGCTTACACAAATTGATCCTTAAAAAGGTTCTCGCTTAAAAAAGAATATTGGAGTAAAATAGCAAATAATTAAATATTTCGGCAGTAAGATATTTCAATTTATCAAATATTTTATTTTTAAATTTAAAATTTATTATTGACTATTGATTTGCTTCATTTTATATATTCATAAAATGCCCTAAAGAATTAATTGTAAAAAAATATGCAATTTTATGTAGCTAAATAGAACACCCTGTATATATACATATATTGCTGAAATAGTGCAGTTTTATAACTTATCTTCAACCTAGTAGCTATAAATAATAGTAAATTGTAAATTTTTGAAGTATTTTAGTTCTATATTTTTTTTAGTTGGTTATGTTATTTAAATAAATCCAAAATGTTTTAAGCACTTATTTAGCAGTTTTAAATATTTTTGTATATTTTACTTCCACTTTTCGTTTTCTAAAATAAATTTGCACATTGTGGTGTTTAATTAACTCATTCATTCTCTTTATTTCAACCACATTTCAAAAATTTCTAACAAAATTATAACATACATTGATCTTGTTATCTATTGTTATTTAATTTCGACGACATATTGTTGTATAAACTTGCATATTGTTCATTGAAATTTATAGAGCATAGCTGTAAATATAGTCAGTTCGTACCAGAGGTTTCGAGAAATAGAAATTCGCGTTCGTGAACGTATGCTGTGCACGCTTATATAGGTAGCATCTGGAAGGATGCGACTGTCCCACTTAGGAAGTTTTACAACGCTATATGGATAGCGCTCAATCCACTGTTGGTGAGAAGGTCGTTGGCAACCTTGAAAAGTACACGTTGGTAGATATACGGGGTGTTACAGTAATTGTGGTGTAGCCAAGAAAGGATTGATTCTTTTTGAAAATATATAGAATTTACTTTTTTCGTTTTTATGGTTTCAAAAATTTATTAGAATCTTTCTACAAACAGTTTATTATAGCGAATTATTTAGGAGATTTTTAAATATTTATTTAATTTTAAATATTTGTCCGTTTTTACATTTTTGAAAAAAGTAAAAAGATAATCGTTCAAATGATCTTTCGAATGATATTTGGCGTACAGTAGCTGCAAGTACGCCGCAGTTTCTTAGTTGTTTTGTTCAGATAATTGATATCGGATAAACCTTGTGTTTCAAAACAGTTCCTACAAATGCACACATTTGATCTTCACTTTTACATTCCACCGTTTGTGTATACTTTTGCTCTCTCCTATATTAATCTATTATATGTATACTTAATTATATATTTGCCGATCTCCAAGATTTGTTACAAGTCGTAATTCAAAACTGGAATAACATTCCGCATGAAAAAATTAGGCCTTGCATTAACACGAGTAATCGGCAGCAAGAGGTAATTCAACAACGCTGCGGAAACACTGTTATTAGAATTTAAAGATACACACACGCATACACACATACAGAAAAACGACTCTTTTCAAAGTCATATAACGTGCAAAATCCGTCCGGCAAACTTCCCATGGTGCGCATCGGTTAATACCAATGCCGTCGGTATATGCCATAAATGCAAGGGTTCTTTAAAGTGTTGTATCTTTCCGAGAAAAAATGGCAGCGACTTTTCCCTTACTGGAAATTGAAGATGAAGGTTTGTACTTTATGCTCCTGCAAACATCTTCAGATACCTGTAGTGTCTTCGAAAAAAAATGTAATAAGTCCGTGCATTTCGTTCAACTCTGTAATTTTCAATATAGCAAACATGCGTTCACATTTAGTATCTTAAAGTAGAGACTTCAAAATTTAATTTAAAAAAAAAGAACATAATTTTATGTTGATTTTTCACGGAGTTATCATCAGTCAAATTTAGCCAATATTAACCCTAAAATTTGTCTATGCCATATTTCTTCTCAGCAGTGTATAATGATATTTGGGTATCTTGGAACATACTTATTTATGAAAGTTGTTTAATTGTTATGTATGACATGTTTATAAATACTGTAATATTTATATATAATCCCGAATCACAATCAGTTATATTTTAGTATTTATTTAATTTACTAGTAATGATAGATAATACGAATAATAAATTATACACAATCCGTCAATTTGTGATTTTGAAAAATGCAAAACGTAAATCATAAAAAAGCTGCTGTTACGATATGTTATACTGAATATAATGAGATGAATTGAGATTATTAGATGGTTGAGGTAATGTGTAGGATTTGATATACGATATGTATGTCAAAAGGAAAATTATTAGAGATATATATACCAATTTTATATTAAATGTATCAAAGTTAACAGCCGGACTTTTAAAAGAAAGCGGAAGGAAAGCAAATTCTTAAAGAATATGTAATGTATTAAAAAAATGTGATTACAATATGCGAATTGGTCGGAAACAACCATACGCAAATGAAAAAAATAAATAGAAAACGTGTTGTTTTTAAAATGAAGAATTTAAAATTTAAAAACATTTGAGATATAGTTATTTAAACATTGCAGTTGGTGAATTAGTTTATATTAATAGTATAACTAAATAGAATACATATAATAAACATATAATAAACAAGAAACGAATGCTGTACAAGAATATTTAGTTTATCATCGTTGAAAAAATTTTAATAACTTAAACACGTCGGTGTGAAATAAGAATGATAGGATAGATCAAATGAATGTTCAAAAGAAACAATTTGTAGCGTGTATTAACGTTTGAAGCAGGTCATACAACAACAACATCCTGCAAGGTATTATCAGTTTTTTCGTAAGGAAATTAATACATATATAATTATACCATTCCAGTCTTAGAATATTAATTTATCGTTAAAATGATACATTACTTTGTTCAAAATACGCAATATGTGTAATAGCTGTTATAAGTTACGAACATAAAGTTTATATTTTTGTTAACTAAATAAAATTACAGGGTGTTGAAAAAAATGTAATATACTATTCGAATGTCGAAGTTGCTTTATGTATATATAGAATATTTTCATTCTTTTTACTCAGAAATTTTTCGTTATTTGTGCCAATGTAAAGAAATGTGTTGAAATCAATAGTTGTTTGTTTTTGAACAACAAATACTATGGGTCATGCTTTCCTATTCAATGTTATTTTTTAAAATTTTCAAAACTCTTGTGTTTTCAATAGTAGTGACATAGTTATCGTGCAAGGGGTGATGTAAATTTATGTTATGTATCATATATTGATTATCAAAAGATAAAATATTAAAAAAAGTTAAGAAAATATGTAGAAACGTAATCATTTGAACAATTTATTATTTCTATTCTAAATATTACCTTGCAATTCTTTCGTTTCTATTGAATCCTTACTGAATACGTTCAGTTTGGTAGTGTTTTTACAAATCAAGATGATTTCGCAAAAATGTAAATCCTTCATTACAAGTAAAGCCCTTTTATTAATTAACAAAGCCTTCGTTATAGATGTCTTAAAAATAATGAAAAACACAAGGAACATTTTTTAAACATTTAGAACAGAAATAAGTAGAATATCAATTCATCACCCTTTTTCTTTCACAAATTATCATGAATTCTTTATACCAAACGATATGAAAGTCTACAAATCATACATGCTATAAGTTTATTTTCCAATTATAACAATACAGATAAAAATATTATTGCTATTAAAACAAACAGCAGTGACTTCAAGAATTCGTAAAAGGTATACTTTGTAAGAAAAAATCATGAACCACATTATTTACTGTTTGAAATCAAAATAAGTTTGTGTCGATTCATTTTTCTCTGTCGGCAATGATAAGTTGAGCAAGTTATCAGAAATACTCTATATAACAAAAACACAGTATACGTTAGTTATTATTCTTCAATTATATTATTATAATTCAACGTTTATTGTGAATTTTAATTCAATTTTTGTTTTTTTTTAAAGAAAGTTCGGAAAAAAATTTCAAATTACAGAAATAGCATTTTATATAATTTTTTCTGAAATTTTATATTAAATTAATATTGATTGTAATTTTCTATGTAACATTCTACTAGGTTTATTCCAATAACTAAATTTCCATAAATCTAAATTTATCATCAGCTTAAGATAATACGTTAGAACAGGAATATGCAGTACTCACGACGACTATGTGATGGAGTTGAACCGTTTAATTAACTACCGTTATGTTTGTTTGGGCCGTTATACCTGCCAAAGTGAAAACAGCTAGAAGTCTATGCTATAGTCTGTATGAACTTTTTCAAACTTTTTGACATTAATAATTTTTGCAAAATTTTTATCAATTGGATGTTCTTTTATCAAATCTGTAATATTTTTAATTCTGCTTTTTGCTGTGTGATGATATTTTCTATACATATTTTTACTTTATTTGCTGCATTACTACACGCAAATGCATATTGTTATCATCTCAATTTACGAAGATTACTGCGCGTGGAGAACAAATGGTTATATTAATGTATGATTGTAAAAGAAATTACATTTTTTTTTAAATATAAAACTTTGTAATAGGATTGACATAACTATCTGAAGCTTACCATTCAAGTTTCGATCAGTGGGGGCGCCAGGTTATTTTGTGCTCTACGTTAATTTAATTAGTGCACCTCTTTTATTACAAATTAGTTACGTTTCTTTAAATTGAACTTATGAAATAAAGAGAAGAATAGGAAACAACAAATCATCATACTTATTATTAGTTACACATACTATTAACAGTTGTATTAAAAATATTTCGAGATGTTGCTGAGCTATTTGCAAAGACACTTTCTCAAACCGTTAAGGGAGCCTTATTGTTTATTGTAATTTATTAATCGTGTTAAAGATACTGTATATCTTTTGCTCCATTGAATAAGGGCAGTTTGATTTTTATGTCTTTAGACTGCTTCTGAGTTAGTGTAGTTTAATGATAGCGACAGCCCTTGTACCGGTATTTGTTTGTAAAGGAATAGAATAATAAAAAGAAAAATTCTATTTATGAAAAAATTTCAACGTTATGACTATCTATATTAAGGTAGAAATAATACTGACAATCTATTAGATATACAAATGAATAATCCAATTTTTCTGCTTCATTCAAGGTTTATTTTAAAAGTTACTAAATTGAATTGTTCAATCAAAGTAGTCGCCATTTCTTTCTATAACTTTAAGCCATCTTTCTGGTAGCTGATGAATTCCATCTCGGAAGAATGTTACGTCTTTAGACGCGATGAAGTCGTCAAGGCATTTTCGGATCTCGTCCACTGATTGGAAGTGCATATCAGATAAGGCGTGTTGCATCGACCGGAATAGGTGATAATCTGACGGAGCAGTATCCGGTGAATATGCCGGGTGCTGCAAAACATCCTATCCAAGACTCATTATGACATCTTTTGTATTGGAAGCAATGTGTGGCCTCGCGTTGTCGTGCAACAGTTTCACTGGTCGTTCTCCTTTGCCAGTATACGGTCGTTTTCTTTCCAATGCTTGACTCAAGCAGATTAATTGTCGCTGGTAGCAATCTGCAGTAACTGTTTCACCTGGTTCTAACAACTCATAGTAAAGCACGCCCTTGATATCCCACCAAATGCATTAATTTTATAACAGCTTAAAATAATTTGGATTATTCATTTGTACACCTAATACATATATGTAATGTCGTAGGAGTTCGTCTATAATTGTTGTAGTGCTAATCTCTTTTATTGGAATTAATACTAAGTACTTCGTCAGTACGTCTTGTATTGAGAGGATGTATTTGTTGTCTCTGTTGGTAGGTGTTAGCGGTCCAAGTATGTCTATTGCGATTTTGTCGTTTGGTTCGTGAGGTGTATCGGGGATAACGGTTTGCTCTTTTCCGCGGATCCTAATTAATTTTTCGCGGAAAAAATCTAACTTAATCGCGAATTTAAATCTAACGCGGAGAAGAATTTAGATTTATCTAGGTGGTCTAAAATTTCGTCTATGGGTGGTAAGGGGTAGGCGTCTTGGACTGTTTCTTGATTTAAGCGTCTGAAGTCGATAACTAATCTCCACTTACGTTTCCCTGGATCATCCGACTTCTTTGGCACAACCCAAATTGGCGAATTATACGGTGAATCTGATTCTTCTATAATTCCCTGATCTAACATTTTCTCTACCTGCCTGTCTATTTCCTCCTTGTGTACCTCGTGTGGTCTGTATGATTTAATGTTTATGGGTCGTAATGTTTTTAATTCTATGACATGCTTAGTCAAATTAGTGCACGGTAAATCCTCATCGTCAAAAGAAAAGACATCATTATATGAAACTATCACCTTTTCTATACTCACCTTTAATGACAGATCAACGTGTTCTAAACTAATTTTGTTCTTTAGAGTTTCGACTCTTTGTGCTATGGAGGGATTCAATTCAAGTAATAATATATATAGTCAGTATTTCAATATTGCTCGTATTACTAAATGTGTAAGGAATAGGGAAAGATATCTTATCGATATTGTATAACTTTACTATTTTGCTGGGACGGCATACGAGCACGACGTGTAGAACATTATTGCTTTCCATAGAATATCGTTATTTTGTATTAATTGTTCACCGCAGTTTGGTAGCGAATCTCTGACGCTAATTTCGCGATAATATCCGCATTTATAAACCACAAGAATCTGATATTTTTCTATAACCCTTTAAAAATGGATCAATCAATAAAACTAATAAAGATATTTT